ACAAAGTTAAGACGTTAGTACTAACTACATATACNGTATCTTATCTTACTATTACTTAGTATTTTTTATTTATTTTTACCTACTTAAAACTTTTTCTAATTTAAGAACTTATGTTTATAGCAGAAAATCATTTCTTGTATTTCGTAATACCCTTTGTCTTTTATTTATTAAATAATCAATTTAATATCATTTCATGCATTTATTGTATCCACTTCAAATCTTCCTGAAATCTTTTCCTTGATTTTTAATTAAGCTTTTCGTACATTACATTTTTTTAACACAAAATGCCTCTTTAATTTTGTTTAAATTCTTCTATTTATAATAGAAAATCTATGCCTACATTCTGTGATTTTCTTATGTCTATCATTTGCACTCTTATATCTATAGACTATATGTACTCTTTCTTTGGATTTCATAATTTTTTATGGAACTTCTTACTAGCATGTGTTCAGCATATTAATAATGTTAAAAGATTGATTGCTCATTCTTTTAGTTTTAAAATATCAAATCTGAAAATTTTGATAGGACATATATGTAAGTACATGCATACATATACATTTATGATTTATCATTCAGGTAATTGCAATAATATATAGTAATAATTGAGGACACCATGCACACACACCCACACAAGCACTGACCCCCACACCCACCCACACGCACGCACGCAACACACACATCTACAAATTTATAATATCGGGTGTTCCCCCTACACTCCCATGTATATGTTGTGCATATATAGGAGATCACTCCCAAGTCACTCCATGAGCAGCAGTCCTAACGCTCCTAGGGTAGGGAGCTTCAACCAAGGGTCAATCCTAGGCTCCCGCTCCCAACAAGTATGAATTGACGTATATGTCGGTGTATTTGATGTAATTGAGTTGTAATTTCGAGTTGTAATGTCCATTGTAAGTCAATTTTTCAAGTCTCATAACTTGGCCTAGGTTCCGTACACCATCAGCATTTTGATTTTAGGAAACTGCAGCTCTGGAGTCACATCTTCCCGAAAATGGAGCACTTCCTGTGTTTGATTTCTGGAAGTTCTGCAGTGTTTTGTAAACCACCACTTCCCAAGGCTCCAAAATTACGTCAAAAATGGGAAACGACGGCTTCCACTCCCCCCAATGGAAGCCACCACTTCAAAAGCTAATGTAGAGGCACTTTTAGAAGACTTCTTTAAAGAAGTCCTGACATTTTTTTTAAAATACTTTTTAAATACTATTATTATCTATCATATGATACTCTTCTTCAAGTAACTCTTCTCTCTCTCTCTCTCTCTCTCTCTCTCATATGTTATTCTTCGTCAAGTAGATGTTTGGGTCTCTCATTCTTAACAAGTGGTTTACCTCAATCTCATTCTTCATTTGAGGAATTGTCTCAATCTAATTCTTTAGAGAGAGAGAGGAAGAGCTTTTCATTGCATCAGAGAGAGAGAGAGAGAATTTCTATTTTACTAGAGAAAGACTTGAGTCCTTTTACTAAATTGAGATTTCAGCACAATCACTAGATATAGATAGGCTACGGGCATTTATGCAAGTCTTATGGAAAAAGCTCTTAAATGATTATTTCTTAAGTGCTGGATCATTTTCTACAAACGTCAAACTGATAACATGATAGAAACAAACCTATCTTTATAAAAGAACGTTAAGATAGTGGTTGATGTTGATCTTAAATTCTCCTTTGCTGAATAAATATCACCCTATCATCAATGAAAACTTCAATGAAAGGTTAAAACTGGCTAATTTCTAGAACTCAAGTTTTCTAGAACCCCCAGTTCAATCACAGATTCCCTAGACTTACATCGAATTCCATACAGTTATCACACATGGTATTTGCCAGTGCCCCGTAGCCAGATCGCCTGACTTCCGGGGAGCCAAAACCAGCATCTACTTCTCAAATAAGGAATTGTCTCACTCATAGTTGTTGGGATCGGGGGCGGGAATGGTACTAGAATCCGGATTTGGAGTGGGGGATCATGAGATACTAGAAGATCCCTGTGGTTGGGAATGCCTTCCATACACTGCACATGTTAGGGATTGAAATCTCCAAATGTTAGGAATTGAGATTCCAACCTTTTGGGATCTTGATCTTAACCTTTTGGGATCTTGATCCCCACTTTTTGGGGATCTTGCTGCCAAACTTGAAGTGTAATCTAAGATATGTATACTCTTTAAAGTGGGGATCTCATTATTGATGACAAGCATGCAATGCAACTATATCAAAAGTATAGTTGACTACTAGCTGGCTATAAACAAAGAAAATCATCAGTTTGGTTGTTGCCTTGGACTTTAAAGTTGGAATCGAGATCCCTAACAGCAAGAATCGGAATCTCTATCAGTGGGGTTAGAGATCCCAAAATTTAATAATCGAGATCCCTAAGAGATCTGTTTCCAGGAGTGATGGAATCGATATCCTAGAAGGGATCTCCTACTGAGATCCCGGTAACTATGGTCTCACTTTTAGAAAAGTGGTTCTTATGCATTTGGATACTATCTCAATGATGTGTAAATGTTATAAGTAGATAAACATAAGGCTTGCCTTTTCTGGATGACTTCTTTTGCTAATATGAGTGAATTCATTAAGCAGGCATCCTTTAAGAGTACCACAAACAGATAATTACTATTCACATCAAGACAGTGCACCTTTCATAAAGTAAATTCAGTGGGCTAAGATTTAGACCAGCTTTATTAGCAACCGTGCCCATATGTACTACCTCAGGTCCATCATCCACAACTTGATTGATAGATAGACAATGTAAATGTATGGATGAGTTACCAACAAAGTGGAAGAAAAATTAACCCTGAAAATATATTGCAATAAATTAAGCATCAGACAGCTTTTCACAAACATGAGACGCACTGGGAAAGCTTTCATATATTAGAAGACTGCTGGAATCTTGAACAAGCAAGGAATATCTAACATTGAATGCCAAGACAACAATTCTCACAATAGTAGCTCAGTGTCAAGAAGTTCATTGTAAACAATTGAATATGCATCAGCCCCACAGATAAAGAAACTTTAGACAGGCATCACAGAAGAATATAGTTGTTCAGATATTGCATATAGATTCCAGAAAAATCTCTTACCAGCTCTCCCAGCGGGAATGCCTGAACTCAGAGGACTCCACCATTGAAAGCTAAAAGGAGGAATCTTGAAAACATTTACACCTGTACTATGATGTCTGAAAAGTGGCAAATATGACCTACTGCAAAATCTTGGAGACCAGGTCTTGGAAACAGTGCTAAAAATGATGAAAACTACAACTACCAGTGAAATAATCAGCATCACAATAAGAATTCCTGTGTTTAACTTCATATGAAGTACTGGATAGCCTTGCAGCTGCATCCTGCTTGATAATATCTCCCCCGCTTCCAATAAAGCAACTCCAAGTGTCCAGGTTATACTACCAGAGCCAACAACGACTCTGTCATCCTTTATGTGCAAGCCTTCTCTCAAGAGTGAGACAATATATGGTGCCCGAAAACAGTACTGCTCAATGAAAGGTTGTGGAGCAACACTATACTTAGCAACTTCCCATGCTTTTCCACAAAATTCTTGACCCTTCTGTACTACTTGGTCAAGAGTCGCTTCTGAAGTCAAGTTAAAAAAGCGAAATACCACAAAAAAACCTGACATGGCATAGAACTCTCCACGGGGTTGAGGAAATTTATCACTCAGAGCACAAGGCTTCAATTTGCAGTTAATTCCAGAACCCAAGTCTGACCACTCTGACAAATTAACTGTTGATTTTGCAAGGGCACTGCATTCTTCCCATTGAGGAGCACCCAGTAACTCAATAACTGTGGCAGGACCTTCTTTTCCAGTGGTTCTGACTCCAATCACGGGGCTTCCATCTTGGTTTAAGGATCCACACTGAGAACACATGTATTTCTCTTTATAACCAGTCTGCAAGCAAGGATGTTTAAGCTGTAATATGCCATTATTTAGCTTCATCTCCATTGGTCCAGATAGCTTCTTCAGGAGAAGAACAACAGACTTGTCAAAGGCATCATTCAAACCATACCCAGGAAGAGAATATGCAGTAAGACGGTGCTGCACCGCTCCAATACTCAAGTTCAAACTGGTTCCATATTGGCCAACTTCCTGTGTCTCAAAAGTAACTTGCAAAGAAGAACCACCCAAATCAAGTGAACCGTAAGTTGCTTTAGTGGGTGAATAACTTAAAGTATTCATGTGATAGTTTAGGGCTATCCATCCAAAGTAAGCTTCCTCCATGCCATTGATAATCTTAACCCACTTATCTTGATACAAGAATGACGATTCTTCCAAAATGGACCGTACCTTATCCAAAACCCATTCTGAATCAGAACTTGGCAACCTTCGGAGTCCAGCTGTAGCATAAACGAAGATAGGAGTGCTCTGATGGGCATGTCTTGGTATTTTCTTCTCAGCCCACTGAAGAAGAGGATTTATGGCAGCTCTCAAACCAGACTCATTGTGTACAAGCTTATCAAAACCAGGTTCAGTTTCCATTCGGTGATAGGCACGGCCATTCTGTGGACTGGATTTTCTATGGCGGCCTTCAGGTAAAGATCTCAACACCATGGGTAAACTTTCTCGGCCTTTTCTGTTATCAAGTAACCACTCGTACACATAAACCCGAGTCCCAGTACTTCCACAATCAAACACAATGGAAAACTGCGATCCTTCTGAAGTCCAGTAAGGTCTAAAATGTCTAAAACCTACATAGTAGCACAGGAAAAACACCAACATAGGGCAACAAATACTAATGCTGTACGCACCCATCTTTTCCGTTTAACTGGTGATGATGGAAAGCCTTTTTCCTTAGAAAAGCTTGATCCAGCATTTTCTTGTAATAAAGGAACGGGCCTAAGTTTGGCATGTGTTGAACCTATATCACTTCCGAGAATCAGACCACCTTCTTCAAGATCAAGCTTTTGATACGTAGACAGATCCTGAAGAGACGATGAAAGCCGCAAATTGCCTTTCTTTTCATAATTTCCCAATCCTTGCCTATAGCTTAGATTTGGTTTTGGCAATGTACCAGAGGAAACTGAATTACCAGTTGGAGAACTTTGAGTTGTACCATGACTCCGTGATGCAGCAAAAATTGCAGCAAGTCTCCCAAAAACCATTTTGGATGTTTCATAACCTTACACTAAGACAATGCCAGTGCAAGATCCAGTGTAACATGGCGCATTTTAATGATCCATGTCAACTTTTCTTGCGAAATTGGTAAACCAGCATAGCAGCACCCTGTAGACTGGTATCTTCCTGTTAACTATAGAGGCACAAATCTGCCAGCAACAAAAGGTGATTAGCCTGCCCCTGAGATCATTAGATGACATTACATCAATAAGAAAGCACAAAAGCAAGAAAAGGTAACTACCCGTGCTATGTCCAGACACAATGCCAAGAATCAGTCAGACTCAGGCATAAATGCTTATTTTTTATATTGAAAAAGTATTCCATAGGTAAAGAAATTATTCAGCAAACCCAATATCTGTAGCTAATAAAATTATCTTCTAACATTTTGGCATTAATGTGCCTTAGGATTTTGTACCCATGTCAAATTTGCATTCACTAATGGAGGTTATGCATTTGGAGAAACTATATTCAGAAGCATTCTGAACTCACGATTCAAAGTTTAGACGCTGAGGCTTGGTTGTCGATCTGACGAGGAGAGATTCTCTATAGTGTATGCTTAAGATTCTACACAACTCATCTTTCCAAGAAACAAAAGATTAGGGGTGTGTTTGTTTTGGTGGTGGTGAAAACCCCAGTTCCACCAAAAACACTCCCCTGTTTGTTGCATCCCCATGAAAGCCTAAGATGGAAGTGCAGTGTTTCATTGGGCTATTTAACATCAAATGACCATCTTTTTGGAACTGGCCCCTTCCATGCTGAAGGATGGAAGAGTGGCTTCCATATTTCATGGAAGCAGGGGCTTGGGCAGCCCCCTCTTCCTTGACCAAACATGCTCTCCAAGACCTGAATGGAGGTTCCAAAGTCAATCCAATAAAAACCTGGGAGCTTGGTAAAGGGTTTCATGATCTGCATACCCATGGATCAGTCGAAATGATGATAATAATGTCTTGATGTGTGTAAGAATTTGGGAAGCCAGACAGTGGACAGGAAAATCAAACAATACAAGGATTAAGATCAGTGACAGTTTGCTCTAAAGAGTGGATACCGAGGAGAAAATAAGAGAAGAGAAAAGATGAAACAGTGAGATAAATTTTCAGGTTTGAACAAATCATATTGGCCAACCACGGAGCACTTGAAGCTGGGTTAATTGGGAAGGCTATTTACTAGTCATCTAGAGTTATGTTTATTCAAGTTTGAAGGGAAGAGTTCGCTTCCCTCGAAAGTGAGATTTTGCATATGTAATATAAAAATTATGTAAGGCAATTTACTAGTCATCTAGAGTTATGTTTATTCAAGTTTGAAGGGAAGAGTTCGCATCCCTCAAAAGTGAGATTTTGCATATGTAATATAAAAATTATGTAAACTCACCCACCTAGAAATGCATATGAAAACACACAAAAGCATGAAAATAATAGGTATGGCACGAAAACATCTCTAAGTATTAATGGCGTATATCAGAGAATATTCAATGTTACTACTAGTTAGCATAAAAAATACACCACAATAATTGATAACCGAAGAATAAGATGAAAATTGAACCACTATCTCATTCACATCACATCAAATCCATAAACTCCAATAGATAAGAAGCAAATATTTATAAATAAATAAATCCCACATTACATATAATCTAGTTCATGAATTTGACAAATTAGTGATTTATCTATCACAAACAAGAAAAGCATCACATAAAAGCATGATACAAGATTACGATTACCTAATTAATGCAAATTATTCAGTAAAAAACACGAGCAATAATAAGCATCTCTAGTTTGCACTATGTAAAATTTAAATCGTAAGAGTAGACCCAAATTCCAATTTCACAAGAAAACAACACACAAAATTAGGAGAGAAAGAATTCAGGAACAGTCGAAAACACCAGATCATATCTACACACAAGAAGAATAAAATTAACTCATATACAATAAACCCCCAACTCCAATTTCACAAAGAAACAACACGCACAAAAAATCACAAAAAGAAAGAAATTCAGGAACAAACAAAACCCCCAAACCATAGCTACAAAAGAAGTGACACACATAAAAAGCATTTAACTAATATACAATAAATCTGATGTAAGAAATTCGAAGAAAACATTAAAATCAGCAAGCTTTAGGCCAAATACACACAACAGATAGAAGAAATCTAGGGTTCCTTCCTCAAACCCTAATTAGGTTTTCAAAAATTAAAGCTTTTACTCTCGTTGTGATGCAAATAAAAATTGAGGTTATCAATTTTTTTTTTTTTAGGAATAAGAAGTGCGTTGGGGTAAGTTAGGTGGGAGGATTTTGTCCGTGAGTTTTAGTAGGGTGTGAGTATTAAAAAAAAAGTTTGTTTTGCAGGATAATTAGGAAGTTGGTTGTCCCTTGAGAAGGCCTATATTTTGGATTAGGAAATAACTTATCTTTTAAGATAAGCAAAAATTATCTTTTATTATCTTTTAGAAAGAGAAGATAACATGAGATTTTGGGAGATAGATGTATGTAGAAGTTAGAGAGAGAGAGAGTGAGAGAGAGAGAGTAGTTTTATTTTTTTTATTTTTTTCTTTCTTTTAAGTGTATTTAAAGGGGAGATGTCTTTTTTTAAAAAAAATAGTTAATTGTTATTTAAAGGGGAGATGTTCGATCTTTGTATAGAGAATTTAAAGATTCAGAAAAGAGTTCAATAAAGAGTTGATCTTGTGGAAAGATATTATGGGCTGGATTCCCTTGCAGACCCGAGAGAGCATATTTTCTCCCTCCATTCTCCCTACATCAGTTGGTATCAGAACAAGTAAGATTCATCAATCACAATGCCGTCGAAACCTACTCTTACACTAGAGGATATAATGCTACAATCATAGAATATGCAGGTCAATAAATTAAGGAGAGCATGAACACAACCATGGGGGTATTCGAAACGACATAAGCGAAACTAAACAGCGAGTGCAATGGTTGAAGAACACTATTATTCGACAAAAGGGTGTTCGCAACCATGAAGATCCGGCACCAGATTTTGTTGTAGAGATGAATCGAGGCCCACGACTAACTAACGGTGTCGATCCTGAATATGAGAATCATATTGTGATGCAAGAACCACGATTTGAGGAGCATCCACATGTTTTCATAATCAACTCAATCTTCACAAGTTTTACGAGGAACTTGCAAAAGAAAAGAAATCACGATTGAGCTCGGCATCTCAGTGTTCTACTTCGAGATGAGCGCAAAGTATTTGATGAATCGGTTTATTGAAAAAAAAGTATTGAGGCGCATGGTGGGACTATATCATCAATGATTTGATTGGCCTCTGCAGGGTGTAAGCTCAAGGTCAAGCTTCTCTGAACCCCAAGAGATATAAATAGAAATTGAGGTTATCAAAATTTTATTTTATTTTTCTTAAGAATAGAAAGTGCATTGGGTAAGTTAGGTGCGAGGATTTTGTACGTGAGTTTTAAATACGTGTGAGTTTTAGTAGGGGTGTGAGTATTTTAAAAAAAAAAAATTATGTTTCAGAGGATAATTAGGAAGTTGCGTTGTCACCTGGGAGGTTTATCTTTTGGTTTAGGAAATAGCTTATCTTTTAATATATGTAGATATTATCTTTTATTATCATTTAGAAAGAGAAGATAACATGAGATTCAAGGAGATAGAGAAGAGATGTACATGGAAGTTAGAGAGAGAGAAGGGAGAATGAAAAGGTGGAACATGAGTTAGAGAGAGAGATTTTTTTTGTGGGTTTTTTATTTATTTATGTTTTCTTTCCTCTAAGTGTATTTAAAGGGGAGATGTCCCTTCTTTGTACAGAGAATTTAAAGATTCAGTAAAGAGTTCAATAAAGAGTTGATCTTGTGAAAAGATCTTTTGGGGTGGATTCCCTGGAAAATCACGTGAATTGCCCCATAAGGATCCATGAACCTCTCTTTCATTCAATACTTTAATTACGAAGTCAATGATGCCCCTAACCAAAAGTAAAATGACTAAAACAATTCTACCTTAAATCAAAATTCGTAATGGCATTTTTACCCTAATAAATAAAATATGACATAAGCACTTTAACTACTTTTTAAAAAAAACCCTAAAATCCCAAGAATATAATCAACCTCGAATCCCAAAAAAAACCTAAAAATCCTTAAAAAAACCAAAAAAAAATTCCAAAAACACATTCCTAAAATTTAATAAAAAATTCAACAATAACAAACATCTTGTCCTGCATCATACATCTCTAGCTAGAGAAAACTCATCCTCGAGTTTTGCAGTAAAGTAGGTTATGATGAATCCATCGTCAAAACTACCTTCTTCTGTGTTAGCTCAAGGATCATTCGTGGTAAGAAGAAATCCTCAAAGAAACAAATCATTGTATGTATATTGAGGAATAGAACCAATTTATCAAACTTGGGTATCCTAAACTAATGTTGAAAATCATGTAGGAAACTTCATACTCAATTTCTAGCCTTTAGAGGCTTTCTTAATACCTATTCCATAACTCTTTGAATCCAAGGCCATAATTTGCGATTTATGAGTTGACTATCATAACCTTGCAATACTTTGATTCCAATGCCCTAAATCTCTTGAATGCTCCACCTCTTCAACACGAGATCTTCAAAGAACATGAGTTTGATAGCCCCCTTGCCACCTTCTCTCCATGTTCTTTACGAGCAAGTTCCTCTTCCGAAACATCTTCATCTTCATCTTGAAACCTATCATAGTTCGGATCTCCTAAGAGATCTCGTTGTTTATCAGAGCATGTATTGAAGATTGGTGCAGAATCCCAATGTACAACTTCCTGGTTTTGAAAACAACTTGCATCAAAATCTATAATGTCCTCCTTCAAATCTAAAACCTTAGAGTGATAAGCCCCACGTCTTGATCTTCTATCATTGTGCTCTTCACTCAAGTATTCTGAAAGTGGTTGTACTCGAGATCTCCTTGGGCCGAAAGGTCACTGTTTTGCCCATGATTAATACTCGTGAGCTTCTGCATGAGTTATTGAACTTGCCTTCTAAGGTCTTCAATCTCTTCATATCTAGGATCACTAATCAGGTCTATGAAAACCTCCCTTCCACAACCCCTTCTCGTTGTCATGGTTTCACTGAAATTACAAATCCTTGGAAGAGAATCAATAAAACCTAGCTAAAATCAGAAACATCTAAGCTGAATTAACATAGGCCCAAAATCAGCAAACCTAGACTTGGTTGTAGTTCCCTGGCCTTGTAGAAGAAACCTAGCTTTTATACCACATTGATGTAGGAAATTCAAAGAAAACAGCAAAATCAGAAAGTTTCAAGCCGGACACATGCAACAAGTAGAAGAAATCTTGGGTTCTTCCTCAAACCATAACTAGGTTTGCAAAAGCCAAAGCTTTTTCTCTCTTTGGTTTCAAAATCACGAGAATTTCTCCATATGGATCCATGCACCTCTATTTAATTCAATACTTCAATTACAAAGTCAAAAAATCCCCTAAACCAAAAGTAAAAGAACTAAAACAATCCTAACTTCAATCAAAATTTGTAATGACATTTTTACCCTTTATAAACCAAAAGATCCTTTCAGAAGTTCTTTCTATTTCTACATTTGTTTCCTCAGTTTCCCTTGTTTCTAAGGTTTCTTTCAGTTTATTTTTCTTTTAGTTTCTTTTTCTTTTAGTTTCTTATTGAAAATATGCTATCCCTCCTTCATACATATACGGTGTTGGATAAAATTTCATGCGATTCGGTAAACAAAATATACATTCCATCATTGTTGGATCGATCTATATGATTCGGAAAAAGAGAGATCCTAAACTCACATATGTGCATCAAGTGACCATTACCACCTCATCTTAATACATTCCTAAAATTTAATAAGAAAAATTGAAAGGGAATCTTGTCCTGCATCAAAGCCCCAATGCCAATTTCACATGAAAGTAGAAAAAAATTGAAAAATAAGTAAGGGAATCTTGTCCTGCATCAAAACCCCAATGCCAATTTCACATGAAAGCAGAAAAGGAAAGAAACCTACGAATAAAGAAAAACGCCAACCCATTGCTACACAATAGAAGAGGCACACATAAAAGGCATAAAAATTAACTCATATGCTGTAAACCCCAATTCAACTTTTACATAAAAAACGGACGACACAATGCATTAAAAGAAAAAAATCAGAAACAACCAAAAGCAGCATAGCTACATGTAGAAGAGACACGAATCAAAAGCAAAAAAAAAAATACAAAATTTGAGACAAACAAAAACAAAAAATCTTAAATCCAGCATTTCATATGACCTAGTTTGTGACTTGGATCAAATTATAATTTATTTTCAACAGAGGAAAAAAGGCATCACGACAGAGCATAATGCAAACTAGGGAATACCTGATTGTTGCAAATAGTTCAGAAAAATAAACGAGGAATGATCCTAAGCCTCTCAGATTTGTAGATTTTACAGGCAATCAAAGAAATAAGTAAAAATTAACTAATATACAGCAAACCCAAATTCAAATTTGGCATAAAAACAACACCCAGAAAAAAAAAAAAAAAAAAAGAAAAAAATGAACAAAAAAAAAATTAAACAACAAAAAACACCAAAACATGAAACAAAAATAAAAATTCGGGAATAAATAAATACCGTGTGTATAGAGAGAGAACAAACAAGTACCTGATTGTTCAACCCCCTCGAGTGTTGACTTGTTAAAGGTCTAATTTGGGGGGTTTATGGTGGGTGAGAGAGAGAGATTGGGATTTGGGACTGATTTGAAACTCACAGAGATATTTGAGTTCAGGGAGAGAGAACGCTGCTTTAGGGTTGGGGTATTAGACGGAGAGAGAAATGACGTGAAGTTGCATTGGATCACGAAAGAGATACTCAGCGAGACATCATCTGTTGAGTGGTTCGATTGGGGATTGAAGCCTGATGTGATGATCAATCTGCGCTCGCTACAGAGAAAATAAAATCCTTGACCTTGCTTTTGCTTTCCCACTTGTCTGCTACGGATTTTGGTTTTCACTGTCAGAAGAAGAGTACTATTCCCACCCGTTACTGGGTTAAGGGGTAAAATGTCAGGACGATGTATATTTGTAAATTTGACAATTAAATTCTTAAAAATAGAAGGGAAATATGCGTAAATAAATATCATAAATACTTTCCAGATTTAAAAATATACGTTTTATGCGGAGGGCCTATTTTTTTTTGTCAAATTCTTGTTTTTTTTTCCCTAAAATATCTCTGATCCGGCATTCATGTGCCAAACCATTTTTTTTTTTTTTTTATTTACCAGATGTTAGTTAGAATTACCGAATTTTGAACTATCTCTGTACGGGAAAGGGTTGTACGGGAAAGGGTAAGGGAAAGGCAAAGGGAAAGATTTAAGGGTAATTGTTTAAAAAAAAAAGTTTATATAGAGTTGAGGCTCTAACAATGAAATTAGAACCCACCACAAAAACTTAACTAGAAGAGTTTATTTTGATGCCCAAATATCCTAAAATTGATGATCTTGACATCAAGATGCATGAACATGACAAAAGTATATTTCAAGTTTTAAAAATAGTGCATCTTATAATGCATTTTTGCACCATCAATTTTCAACATTTCAAGTTTTCATATATATGTTGGATCTACACTATTTTTTAATCTTCAAATTTTATAATTAAAGATAAATATATTTTAAGGCTATCACAAAGATTTTTAGTATTGAAACCATATTTTTCGATGCTATTTGAATATGTACTTCATTTTGATTATTTAGAGCCTCCGCTCTATACAAACCATACCCTTGTTTAAATTAAAAGAATAAACTGATGGCGGCACAAACATGCATCCCAATGAATTTAATATACACAGCATGCCTTATTCTCATTGCAATCAGCGTGCAATTACGGTAACTGATTTCTTTCATTTAATGATAATTGTACTACATGGAATTTTCACATTTATTCAAAACATGTACGCTCAATACAATGTATTATCAAATGTGAAATTGCTTATAGTAAGATATTAAATAACTCGATCAAGATGCGAATTTATCTTTTCTTTTTTCACACTCAAAAATAAATCTCCTTGTTCTTTATAAAATTGTCTAATTCTCTATTATCCGAGCTCCCCTTTAATTCTCTATTGGAATTTTCTTGCATGTATAGGACAAAGATAAACTTATACTTTCATATTTTTTTGAAGACTTTTATTCTTTGTAGATAAAACAAATAAGATACTCTTCATTCTTTTTCTTGAATTTCAAATAAGTTTCTTTTTTAAGGGTGAGGTTTGTATGAGGTAAGCACCTTAAGCAATCACAATAAGGCGCACCTCCAAAATGATGTCGAAAGATGTTATTTCAATGCCGAAAATTCCCATGATAGTCTGAAAATCTATTTTTATCTTTACTTATGAAATTTAAAGCTTCAGAAATAGTGGAGATCGAGTGTATTTACGAATACTTAGAATTATTAAAAATAGATCATTCAGATAATATATTATAAGATGCAGTATTTTCAAGACTTGAAATCTTTTATTTTTTTCTCCACATCTATACATCTTGAGAACGAGATGATCAAGTGGAGGGTTATTTTCATCATTAGAGTAACCTCTTTCCAGTGGGTTTTTGGGATGCACCTTACTTTTGTAGTATAAAGTTGACACCTTATATGAACATTTTCCTTTTCTAAATAATATCCCTTGTTGAAAATATAATAAATTTTTGTCATTGAATGAGATTTCTTTGCATTTAAGATTAAGAGTAAGGATATTGACCTAATTTTTCAGTTTTAAAAACTTTTAAGATTTCTTTAATTTCTATGTTCAAAGGAAGAAGCAGAACTTTTTTATACATCTATTCTCTTATGGTCACAAATAATCTATTGAACATTAAAAGATTTTGAGAAAACAATTTTACTTTACGTAATAGTCTCGATAATAAAATGATTTTTAAGTATATCTATATTAAAAATTCCTTTTAATGTTCATTTAATTCACAAGTGTTTAGTGAATGTGAATTACTTATTCAAATTTAACATAAAGAATTTGAAATATGCATTATCTCAAGCAATGTTTAAAATAATGGATCAACGACGCAGATCATCCACATCGAAAACTAGTCCGGATCTGTGAATTAGTTAGTTGCCCAAACTAGCCATAAAAACATTTCAAAGAAATCATTAAAACTTCCTAGAAAACTAGTTTTTTGGTTTCTTAAAAGAAATGGTGGTATTGCATAATAGATTTTTATTATTTTATTAAAAATATATAAATACTAAGAAACTATTTCATGTTTGACTGTTTGTTGACCTCTACATTGGTTTTATAGTCAAAATGAAGTTTAAAATGCAACATATTGTAATAAATTGGATCCATCTAACTCAAATTGTTTTCTTTTTATATTTTTATAATCTCTAATGGTAAGTGCGCTTGTGTAGACACCCCTTTTTAAAACTAGCAAATTCTATGGTTTCCTGAACCCTTAGGACCACACTTAACCTAGTGAACCGAAATCCATAATTCACACAACCTACATTGTGACCCATAACTAGTTTGCCTATCTAGAACCCTGCAGAAACCTTGTTTTTTACCCAGATTTTTATAAATGCCCTCTTGTACCAAAAAAATCATTAAAAATAGTAAAAATATCTTTTATGACCCAAATTTCTCTGAGAGCTTCATAAGAGGCTGAGGAAGACATTCAAATTGAAAAACATCAATTTGGACTAGTTTTGGTTTGGGCGACACTGGCAGTGTCGTCCAAGTCATCCAGTAAACATCCTGTTTTACCAAAACAATAATTAAAAATAGTAAACAAATATGTATTGACCCAAATTTTTTATGGTAGCTTCACAAGAGGATAAGGAATGCACTCAAAGTGAAACTTTTGGATTTTGACCAATTTTGGCTTGGACTGGGCGACATGCCCAATGTCGCCCAGATTTGGGCGACACGGCCCGTGTTGCCCAGCCACTTTTGCCCTAAACTGAATTTTGATGCTTTTTAGATGATTTTTACAAATTTCTTGGGTGATACGGCCCATGTCGCCCAAATTCGTGACCCTCAAAATTCTCATTTTTTGACCGGGGATTTATTTGTTACGTAAGTTTATCCGTCCCAACAAGCTTTGATCCCTATAAGGCCCCTTTTCGTGGGTATTTAGAGGGGGAACAACTAAGGGATAAAGGGGGAAAACCCTAAGATAGAGAGGAGGAAACTTCAGAGAGAGAGAGAAAACCTCAGAAAAAAAACTCGGAGAGAACCCCAGCCTCCTAAAACTTCAACCCTTAGAACTAAAAACCTAGAACCATCTATAGGGCACAACCACCATATACTGAAGGAACTTGCTGGCTAATATCTGGATCAAAGAGACAAAGGCAGACCGGTTCTGATACGGGCGAGTCCCAAAGGGCTCGGGCGTCCCGGGCCATCCGACCCGGTTCAGTATTATTTTCTTCCTTCTTTTATTCTTATTTCACTATTCGTTTATTCTTATTTCACTATTTTATTTTATTTTTCTCTTTTTTGGTTAATTTTCTCAAAATCATATTTTGGATATTTTTGGATCATGTTGGCCCTGCCACAGATCTGAGAGCAGATCTACTCGCTTCCGGGTAGATCTGGCTTCAGATCTGAATTTGATCTATCCCACTTTCTTTACCACTACATTACCATTCATTTTCATTAGTTTAAAGTGTCAGATCCGACAGATCTTCACTACCAAATATGTCAAATTTGCATCATAAACAGTTTGGCGGCCACCGTGGGGCATTTCGCGCCTAATCCAAGCGCATTTCGAGCCTGATACGATTTTTATTTACTGTTTTTCACTGTTTTTTGTCACAAAAAGTCCCAAGAATATGCAGTAACCAAGATCCAGGGTTTCGGTTCTTCGAAACCCAATTTTTTCTGGGCGACACTAGCAGTGTCGCCTAGGCAACACCACCCGTATCGCCTTGATCCAGAGCGACACTCCCCGTGTCACCCAAAAATAAAACGTTTCAGATTCTTATGAAACTTTGCAAATCTATTTTAAGGCCTCTTTTGTTACTGTTCACAAATTTCAGAGCAAAATAAAATTTTAAAAATACCAAAATAATATTTTACTGCTCCATCTGCACTATTCTACTTTACTCTGTTTTAATGTATTTCATCATAAATATATTTTTTTCTTGCTTCTTGCAAGTTCAAAGTAGGCTTATTTCGTCAATTTTGACAAGAAAACAATATTTAAAAAATAATAAATAATACGTTTTTGGGTGACACTGCTACCTGTAGGGGCGGCACCACACATGTCGCCCAACTGCAAAGGTCCCAAAAACATTCTGGGACCCCACAGGACTGTTCCAAGGACTTTTGGCTCCCTGTTGATCAATGTTTTACTTAAAATAAATTTTTTAAAAATATAAAAAAAATATTTGCTTCAGATAAGTCTGTGCTGCTTCTGACTCTTTTATTTTATTTTAATTTGTTAATTTTGATTAAAACCATGTTATTTTTGCTTTCACCATGCTTAGTTTAACTGGATTTCATCAAGGTTAAAAAATATAAAAAATTAAAAAATTAAAAAAAATAAATATACATCGAGAGTTGTTTGCACGCTCCTGAACCGTGTCCCATTCGAGTCACCCTTGACTCGGGCCGCGCTCAACTTAGCACGGACCGTGCCTGGTCTCATTGTTTTGACTTTACCTTTTAGGGGGTTGCTTACCCCTTCATCTATATTGTGCTTCGAGCGAGTGTCACCTCGAAACACGCATTATTGTGCACGATCAGTGCCGAGCGCTCACTTATTTCCTTTCTTGTTTTGTCTGCTTGTGTGCTTGATTTTATTTTAATTGTGTGCTTCTTTACACACTCCAACACACATCGGAACGGGAGTGCCCGAGAATCCTACAAACGAATATTTTGAAAACCCCCAAAATCCGCGTTAACGGTGTCAGTGAAATCTAGCTTTGAGAGTCAAGGCAGCTGGGAATCACATAACTTTAACTGTGAGTGCCCCTCCATAATCCTTTGCCTTAAAGCAACTCTACGTATAATAGGACCCGGTGAACATCCTAT